CTTGGGGACCATGACAACATCGGCGAGCCACTCGGAGTGGTAGATTTCTTGGATGAACTCCGCCGCTAAGAGCCGAGCCACATCTTCGCCAATGGCCTTTCTCTTCTGGACGGCGGACCGTCAGAGATGTTCCTTGACAGGTTTTACTTTTGAGTCAACTCTTAGGCGGTGCTCAGCCAGCTCCCTGGGAACACCCAGCATGTCAGAGGGCTTCCATGTGAAAATGTCCCAGTTCTCACAGAGGAACTGGATGAGTGCTTCTTCCTATTTGGAGTCGAGTGTTGTCGAGATATGAGTTGGAGCAGCGCTGGGGTCGGTCGGGTGGATGTGAGCTGTCTTCGTATCGCCAGTCGACTGAAAAGCTGAATCTGTAGCGGGCTTCTTGGCTCGCAACAAATCACTCGGGTCTGAAGTCTTCTCGTATTCCTGCAACTCCACCACTGCCATCTGAGCATCAGCGATCTTCGAACCTTTCTGAAAGCATTCTTCCGCTTTCTTCCGATTGCCCGTAATAGCGATCACACCTTTGGGGCTAGGCATCTTCAATTTGAGGTACACTTAACATGGTCGGGCCATGAAACGTGCATAAGCCGGCCTCCCCAAAATAGCGTGGTAGGCACTCTGGAAGTCTACAACTTCGAATGTCAACTTTTCTTTGCGGTAATTTTTGGAATCACCGAAAACCACATCAAGAGCAATCTGGCCGAGTGATTCAGCCTTCTTCCCAGGAATGACTTCATGGAAACTCATGTTGCTGGCACCGAGTCTGGACATCGGAATGCCCATCCCTTTCAACATCTCAGCATACAATATGTTCAAACCACTGTCACCATCCATCAGGACTTTGGTCAGTCGAGTGCCTTCAACAACTGGGTCGATCACCAAAGCTTGCCTCCCAGGGGTGGCGATGTGCGTTGGGTGGTCGGACTGGTCGAATGTTATGGCCGTCTGAGACCATTTCAGGTAACTAGGTGTCCCCGGAGCGACCATATTCACCTCTCGGTTAATAACTTTCAGTCGACTTTTGCTTTCAACATCGGCAAAAATCATCAGAGTGGAATTGACCTGAGGGTATCCGTCGTCACTGTCTTCTTTGTCCTCGACCTTGTCCGACTCCTTTTCCTTACCTTTGGGCTGCTTGCCCTGGAACTGCTGGATCAAGAGTCGACACTGTCGAGTGGTATGTTTCGGGTAAATGAAATTACCGTCTTCATCTTTCTTTGTGTGGACGAGACATGGTAAGTCTAACACATCATTTCCGTCCTGGTCTTTAACCTTTTTGGGGTTCCAAGGTCCTTTAGGTTTCCCTTTAAACTTTCCTTGGGTTAAAGCCAAGGCTTCCCCGGGAGCCGCTGGCTCGGCTTTCCGCTTCTGTTTCCGATTGGAATTTCCTTCGGTTTCTTGGGCGACTGACTTGAGCTCGCCACTCCTGAGTCGATCCTCATCTTCACCATTAGCATACTTGGTGGCAATCTCCATCATACGATTCAGGGACATATCTTCGGTTCGACCGAATTTCAAATTCAGTTCTTTGTACTTGACTCCTTCCTTGAAGGCACAAACTGCTTGGTGGTCAGGCACATTCTCCACCGAGTGATGTAACGTGATCCACCTCTGGATGTAATCCCTCAAAGTTTCATTCGGCTTCTGCACGCAAGACCGCAGTTCCGTCAGCCCTGCTGGTCGCTTGCATGTGCCTTCAAATGTGGTGACGAACACTCGGGAGAGATCTTCCCAAGTGTAAATGCTGCTAGGCGCTAACTGGTTCAGCCACGCTCTGGCCAAGCCCTCCAACATGAGAGGCAGGTGCTTCATGGCCACTTCATCATTGCCGCCGCCAATCTGGACGGCCACTCGGTAGTCCTCAAGCCAAGTATCGGGCTTGGACTCGCCAGTGAACTTACTGACTCTAGTCGCCAACCTGAAGTTGGGAGGAATCACAGCGGCTCTGATGGCTCTACTAAAGCACTCTGGCCCCGAAACATGTACTCTGCTGCTGGTAGGTGCATCTCTGTCGTGACCTTCTCGGTGAGCCCCGTTCCTGTCAACCAAACCTTGGACGAGAATGGATCTCGCATCAAAGCCTGGCCCTCTGGGGTCGACTGGAATCCTTCGCCCACCACTATGAGGGCGCCTGTCATCCTGCTGGCGAGGCACATACGACCCGCTCCTCGGGGGAGGCGTGGGCACTCGACGTCGACCATCACGATCGACTCGGTGATCATACTGCTCATGGTTCCCATACTGGTCACACCGGTCTCCACGTCCCTCACGCCTCGGGGGCGATCTCGGGCTGTGAGCCGACTGGACTATGTCCGCGGCAACGGATCTGCCGTGAATCCTATTCCGCGACTGAGAAACAGTAGAATTCTAGTCTCCTGCTGCCCGGAGTAACGCTCTGACCTGCAGCAAGCCTCTGCCAGCCTCCGACTGGGAAGGCTGAATCGACTCCGCTATACGGGCCGCAGCTGCTAAATTCTGAATCGGAGTTCGATATACCTGCGGGGGCGGGAAGAGCTGACGTCAACTGGATTCGGAACCCGTTGTCGCGCACGCTCGTCGAGTGCTCGCTGGAGGTTCTCCAGTCGAGTGCGCTCGGCCAAGTTTGCCAGGCGGGCGTCTTCCAAGGCACGAGCCTCGGGGGTTTCTCCAACGATAGGAGTGTGCAGTGCATCCATGTTCCGGCGGCGAAGTTCTTCCCTCTGCAGCGACGTGAGAGGCTCGGGAAGATACTCCTCATGGGGACGCGACGGGTCGCCTCCACCCGTGCCTTCGTCGGTGCAGGGAAAACCGGGAGGACTGGGCGGTCCATCGACCATCAGAACCTCCGCCGCCGGATCGCTGTTGTCGCACTCGGATGCGGTCTCTGCGGAGCCAGTCGACAGGTCGAACAGGCCGTAGAGGGATTCGTCGGGCTCGATCGCCTCGACTTGAGGGGTGGCCGACTGGCGTGCCACCGCGTGTCTCACCCACCGCTGAAGTCTCGACCGACCGGAGCGCTTGCGCCGGCAGGAAACTGGGAGAGAGGACAACACAGGAGCCGACCGGTAGGGGGTCGATGGTTGCCGCAGGAGAACGCCGCGGACGCACGCGCTAAAGTGCATTGCCCCGCGGACAGGGAGTGCGTCCACGTCGAGCGGAGCCTCCTGAAGCCAAGCGGAGTTGTCGGCGATGAACGTGAGCGCGCCGAGACGGATCTCGCGGCCCTCCACCAAAGCTCCGCCGAAAACCATGATGATTTGGGTGAGAAAGGATCGCAACTCCTCCAACAAAACGCTAAAACACCTGCCCCACGGTGGGCGCTAACTGTCGTGGTTCTAAGTCTGACAGTGATGTAGGGGGGTAAGTATGGAGAGGCAAGATCTTAGCTATGGAGAAGTTGTAAGCACGCAAGGTTTACGAGTTCAGGCCCTTCTCGAAGGAAGTAATAGCCCTACGTCTCGGAGCCCGGAGGCGGTCGACTGGATTATGCGTGTATGAGTTACAGGGGTGCGAACCCTTGTATCGGAGAAGGGGGGTGGCTTATATAGAGTGCGCCAGGACCCCAGCCAGCCCATGTTACAAAGTGTTCAATATACATTAAGGCAGGGCGTTACTGGTTAGTAATAAAGTGCTATGATGACCATAAAAGCTACTTAATAACCGACCGTTAGCATGCGGAGTGCCTTTAGGTCTCCCGACTGTCGTGTGGCTTGGTCTTGGTTGAGTGGTTGCTTCTTGGTCGAGTATCTTTGAGTCTGTCGAGTGGAACACCTCCAAGTCGATTGAAAGATGATTTCTTCTGGAGATGTCCTTGGGTAGGTCAGTTTGGACAGGTCCATGCCCCTACCCTAGGTACATAGCTTCATCACCAGCAGCACTAACCGGCTCTTTTCTGTAGATCTCCGCAAGATGACCCTTCTCCCCGCAACGATAGCACCTAATGTTTTTCCCATGCTTGGGCGGTGAGGAGTATGAGGCCTTGAGAAGCTTTTCTCATGTTTGAATGGAGGTCTTTCGCAAATGAATTTTCATGTAGGAATTATATAATGTGCCTGTATATATTGATCGAAAGCCCATTATTGACTAGTGGCAAAAGAAGAAGAAAATCAACTTGGCGCATGGACGACGTACAATGGCCAGGGCAAACAGCCAACGCACCCATGGCCGGCCTGCTTCCCATTGCTATCGTGGATTGCCTGCCCGCCAGGGCGAGTCGAGGAAATTCGGAAATGGTCACGGTCCGCTCGAAGGATGGAGGTATACAGCCGTGGATGCATCTAGCTTCCACATCGATCTTGATCAAGTGCAATCGTCTGGAGATGGAGATATCTCTGACTCGATCGATGAATCAAACTGCCGGTCACATACAGACAACTGTCTACTTCGCCGGATCAACCTACGGAACCTTCTATCTAGCTTGACTGAGCTTTTTTGTCCTGAGGAAACAGCCGATCTAGTATTCATCATGGCATGGCTGTACAAAAACACAAAAATAACAAAAAGAATACATTCATGCCCGAGCTTAATTAGAGCGTGTAGCACACGCTCGGTGCAGTGTACCATGCAGGAATATGGTGGTGAGCGTATAGCACACGCTCAGTGCAGTGTACCATGCATGATTATGATGATCTTTTTCTCTCGAACACCATCAATATGATGTTGGCAAGACGACTTGACGCGACTGTGATTAGGCTAAATCAGTCGTTCCATCAGTAATTGCCCGACTGCCTTACCCGGGCGAATGACCGTGACACATGCCGAAAAATCAAGAGAAAACAAAGCAGTCCAGCTAGAAAAGATCGATCGGATCCGTGTGGAATGGCCTCGTGCCCGTGCGTGGCTGCGGCGGCGAGAGCAACCACGTCCATATAAATGTAACCGCTAGTTGGCCATGGATCCAACCTTGCTCTACTACATCTACATGCACCTCTGCCCGCCGTTTCAGTGCCATTCTGTTACGGAGCAACGAACTGTCAGTCCTCCGAGCAACGAGATCAGCACCTAGCTAGGCAAGAACCATGAAGGCGGGGACAACACCGCCGGCCAGCAGGGCGGCCGGCCTGCGGACGCTGGTGGTGCACGTGCTGGCGGTGGCGGCCACGGCGCTGGTGCTGTTCTGGTGCATCGGATTCCGCGGCGGCCTTGCCTTCCGCTCCAGCGACAAGCAGCGCATCTTCAACGTCCACCCGCCGCTCATGCTCATCGGCCTCGTCGTCATCGCCGGGGAGGCCATCCTCGCCTACCGCACCTTCCCGGCCTCCGTCAGCCGGGACGCCAGGAAGAAGGCGCACCTGGCGCTGCACGCCGCGGGGCTCGCCGTCGGCTTCGTCGGCGTCTACGCGGTCTTCAAGTTCCACGCCGAGGCCGCCATCCCCAACCTCTACTCGCTGCACGCCTGGGTCGGCATCGCCACCATCACGCTCTACGCGCTCCAGTGGCTCGCCGGCTTCCTCGCCTTCTTCTTCCCTGGCGCCGCGCCGGAGACCAGGCGGTCCGCGGTGCCGTGGCACGCCGTGCTGGGGCTCCTCGTCTTCGCGCTCGCCGTGGGCAACGCGCAGCTCGGCTTCCTCGAGAAGCTCACCTTCCTGCAGTCCCCGCCCGCGCGCCTCGTCGGCAAGTACGGCGCCGAGGCGCTGCTCGTCAACTTCACCGCCGTCATCGTGCTCCTCCTCGGCATCGCCGTCGTGATCGCCACCGTCAACGCCGACTCCACCAGATACACCGCCATGTGATCATCCATCGATCGAGCTTATTTGTGATTATCACAACGCTATGCTATGCACCTGCTTATCGATCGATCCTACGTATACGTGTTGGTGCTCCTGTACAAACTTTAAATAAAACAGTTAATATGTGTTGTGTTTTCACATAGAGATGCATATTTGGAGCATACAGATTTTTTTTTTTTGAAAAAGGGAGCAAGCCCCGGCCTCGTGCCCTTACGCCTCACTATTTAGAGCCGGGGTCACCGTCGATCCGCCCGCACGGTGTATCAAGAGTAAACACCCGGTGCAGCAGAGCCAAAGCGTACACCGCCTACACACGCTTCCAACACCACCATTGTACCGCTGACCCATCTTTAAGAAAAGATCCGCATCATCCTCGCCAGGCCGGTCAACTGTCGACACCGCCACAGTGCCAAACAACAACACCGCCCTGCACTCGTCCATCAAGACGCATTCGCCCCGAGACTCCATTGTACCATTCTGACGAGACCCACTGGTGTCGACACGGTACGTACGACGCCACTCCACCTCTGGACCCCTCCAGCCAACACTTGCAACAAGAAGGATGCCCCCCGAGAGGGGGTGTGACGCCAGACGCTACCATCATCCGACCCGGGAGAATCAGATCCAAGTTTCCCTTGGAGCAAATGACCCTTCTCGGCGAGTCTATGCGGTGATCCAAAGCCGCTACACCTTCGCGATCTCTCCGGCAGATATGAGCTCCAAAATAGTGTCTCCAAAGAGGTAGACGAAGCCACATGCTGTCACTGTCTAGTCCGGCAAGCCAAACTTGAGGTTTCCCTCAGAGCTCGATGGGACCATCACCATGACGATGCCCTACAAGGAGGTTAGCGGTGTCCGTAGACGTCGTCACACAATTTGTGCCGGCAGATCCGGGCAAATAATTTCTCCTCCGTGATAGTTCCTTGAACCAGGAGAGCAGGAGGCAGAAGCGCTCATCAGAGATGTCCACCAACAGAAAAGGAACAGACGTGTCAGGTGAAACAAATCCGGGCACATGGCCCGAACCCATCCAACCCGACCTAACAAGAGGAGCCTTCGCCGGTGGGGAGAGGATTCGGGCATGCCATCCCTGGATCCATCGCCACCGCCTGCGGCCCATCACCGCACCTTCCACCGCGCGCCGGAGAACCAACACGCCATGACGTCTGGCTTGCGCCACTTCCTAGTCGAAGACGCCGGCACTCGCCGCCTCCGCCAACCACGCTTCACCTGGCCACACCCTTTGGCGGCGGCGAGGGAGGAGGAAGGAGAGGAGTGAACCGGCAGCAGCCGGAGTTCGTCGACCCGGTGTAGCTAGAGGAGCTGCACGGGAGTGTTCCCTTTTTTTGGAGGATACATATAATTTCTTTCATGATATGAGTTGATGTAATCCCCAGACCCCTAGGTGTTTCATTCCATCTATTTTTAGATCAACACGAAGAACCTTGGCTTCCATTTGATTTCTGACTAGAGAGGCAGGTGACAGCTTCATTACTATATGCTGGATTACCTGCCTTCTGCAAGCCTCTGCGGTTGAGAATGCCCGCTCCGCGTTGTCGGTTGCACGCTAGCCTCACACGACTGGCTCCCTACGGCTTTGTGACCCATCCAATCTGCGCGGGCGCCTCGCACCCAGACGACTTGCCTCGGGGGCCCATGATGGGTGGGTCGCATGTGTGACCGGGCCACCTCTATGTGTGGGTTTTTCTATGGGCCCACGTACATTGTTTCGCATGTTGCCCAACACATGATGGTTGAGTGGGTCTGACTCTCAGCTCGCCCCCTGTCGGACTGAGTTGCTTGGGCGAGACCAAGATGCCCACGTGCACCCGGCTGGCGTGCTCCACACTGTCTGATCTTCGCGGCTGCCCCACACTTGGCTAGTTTTCCTCAGGGGTCCATGACATGTGGGCCATGGGCGCAACTGGGGCCACCTCTCTATGGCGGGCTTCGTCACGCCAAAATGTTGCCCTGTGCGTGAAGGGAAAGGCATGGTCCGTCTGGCAGCATCCTTCGCCGCGTGTCAGGCTGCTTCACTCGGGTGAGACCGGGAAGCCCGTGCGCGAGGCTCGTCATGCGCTTCTTGTCGGGTTGGTTTGTTCGGCCTAGTCGGGTGTGTGTGTGTGCCCAGGTGTTTTATTTTGATCTACCAACTATGTTACGGTGTTCATTATGGTATCTTTTATGTGGACCTGTTATCTTACCGGCACTTTATTAAGGTTGCCTTTAACATGGTCCTTTCCAGGCTCATATATATAGGCACTAGGTTTTGGACTTTCATTGTCTTCACCTGGTCCTCTCTAGGGAGTTATAAATTCCTTTAAGTTGCCACTTGGGCCTTCCCTGTGGGAATTGGCCAGGTGCTTGTAGCCTATTGTGGATGATCTTTCCTAACTTAGTTTTATCAATTGTCAAGCAATCGTGGGAAGTTTTAAACTAGAACATAAGAGGTTTGAATTCACCTAATAAGTGCTTAAACACCCAGAACAATATTTTTGAAATTGGTTGTTCCATTTTCTGCTTTCAGGAAACAAAGAAAGAGTCCATTGACATCAATTTTATCAGGAAATTATGTCCCCCCACGTTTGATTCCTTTGCTTTCACTCCATCCATTAGTAGACCTGGAGGTATTTTGGTCGTATGGACCTCCGCTCACTTTAAAGGAGAACTAATTTTCAACATCATTTTGATGTCTTTGTGTGTCTCCAATCTATTAACTGTGGAAGTTGTTGGACCCTTACTAATATTTATGCTCCATGTCAGAGGATAAGAAACTTGAATTCTTGAACTAGTTAGATGAGGTTGAGATCTGAGATGATGTTGAATGGTTGTTGGTTGGTGATTTCAATCTTATTAGGAATCCTGATGACAAAAGTAAACCTGGTGGGAAAATGTCTGAAATGCTACAATTCAACATTGTAATTAGTCATTTGGGTTTGGTTGACATCTGATTACTTCCTTTAGTGGTCTGGAAATGGAGTAGAAATGATTCTTTCTTTTTTCCCCAGAGGTTACGCTGAGTTATAGAACCCACGAGAAGACAGTGCCCTTTAAGTTAGGGTCTCAAACAAGCTTTTTCTAGAGAATTGAATTCTAGCTTTTGACCGGATTGTAAATCAAGCTGACACTGGAAACACTTATAATAAAAATAGGCATGGGTAAGAGGACTTATGCTTATAACCATATATTTGTGTCGTGACCATCATGATCTTAGGCCCTATTTGTTTGGGCTTTTGCTTGTACTCTTGCAGCTTTTCCACTTTGGCCAAAAAGCCAAAAAGCTCCTAAACAGGTGCTTTTTTGCTTCGGCTTTTGGCTTATACCATCATATAACAATATTGATTCATAAGCCAAAAGCCGAAGCAAAAAACCCACTATTCAGGAGCTTTTGTGGTTTTTTTGCCAAAGTAGAAAAGCTGCAAAAGCAGAAGCAAAAGTGCAAACAAACATGGCCTTGATTTGTTCTCTGGAAGCCGGGTGGGTTGTTGTGACGCCCTGAGACCGTTGCGCCAGGTTTCTTCCAGTTATTCGCTGTTGTTGCCTTGTCTTTTGCTTGCGTGTTGCATCTTGCCATGTCATCATCCGCATTGCTTCTGCATGTTTTCAAAACTTGCATCTATCCGGGTTTCCCAGTTCTTTCCGTTGTGCGTTCTGAGCCCAGTCACACTCGCACGCGGCATGTCTGAAATATTATATTATAAGTGGCCGGAAAATGTTTTCAGAATGGGTTGAAAGTTGGCATGCGGTGTTATTATGTTGTCAGTAGGCCGCCTGCCAAGTTTCATCGCATTCGTAGTCCGTTTGACGCCCCAATGGTTAACTATAGCGGCATTATAGCCGGTCTAACGTCGGATGTTTTCGGTCTCCGAAAACTGTTGCCGGGCTTTCCCTCTCTTTCCTCCCTAGACTGTCTACACAACCCACTACCACTCACCGCCAGGCCCAACCTAATCCTCCTCACATCCGGAGCCATCCGATTGTTATCGGAGGGCCCCGAAACCCCTCCTACCACCACAAACCCTAGCCTCCCCTCCTATAAATAGAACCCCCCTTCCAAATCTGTCATTCCTCACCTCCATCGTTTCCCGTGCCATCCAAACCAGCCGCCACCACCATCCTCCTTGTTTTTCGGTGCCCTCCACCTCGTCCCCTCCACTTGGCGCATAGCCATTGGCTGCGCCACCACACAGCGGCGCCCGTGGCCAGTGCCAAGCCGCCGCGTCGCCTCCCCGAGCCCTCAACCGCACCGCGGCCCGCCAGGCCCGACCGCAGCCTGCCCGGCCCAAAGTGGCCCGCCGCCGGACCCCGCTCGTCCCGAGCCCCTCCAACCTCCCTTGCCTGGATCGGACATCGCCCGATCTTCATCGCCGCCGTCCTGCACTCGCCGGCCACCGGAGCCTCGCCGCCGACGAGCACCCTCGACCAGGCCAGTGCCCCGCGCCCCTCTCCTTTCTTCTCCCTCCGTTTCTCTCTCTGTGCTCCCCACCAATGCCGGGAACGGGCACCCCACGCCCAGATCCGGTCTCCACCACTGCGGATCCGCCTCCCTAGCCGTCCCGCGCCCTGGACCTCGCCGGAGCCGTGCTAGGCCGCCACCGTCTTCCTGCTCCGAGGCGGAGCGCGGCCTTCCCGATCTTCTGCTCCGTTGACCTGCTTCGCCTTCCCTTGGGCCAGATCCGTGCCTCCAGGCCCAGCGCGCCCCTTCGCAGCCTGCCAGCTCCTCTTTGCCAGATCCAGCGGGCCTTGACCCATGGTGGGTTGCCCTGCGCCCCTCCTTTCCCCCTCCTGTTGGGATACCCTAGCTATTTCGGCCCGTGTTGTTTTTTTCCGTGCTGTGATTTTGTCTATTATCCAGGGAATAACTGTTTTACAGTTTAGTTCCTCTAGTTCATGCATATAATAACCTCGCAACCATGCATCGGATTTAAACAAACTTTATATGTAAAATGCTTAGAATTTTATGTAGATTAATAATTTCCAACTTTCATGCATGTTTGAAATGT